AAGGCCCCTATTTTAGGCATGTTGGGGACTCCAAAGAGCCTGCGGCATTCCAAGACATGACCCACATGTGCCTCGAACCCGCCTTCGACGTTTTACGGATGGGTCCTTGGGCCTTCCGCGCGGGGATTTCCAGCCTTCCAGGCGGCTCGGGCTCCGTGGGCTCCCGAGATCCGTGTTCTTTTTTCTTCGAAGTTCGAGGGTTTAGGGGAGGCTTTGAGGAGCGGGGGGGGGGCCGTTTAGGGCTTAGGGTCTAGATTAGGGGCGGTTCGGGGGGCTTTGGCAGATTGGCAGCATGCCATACTATCCATACTTCAGTTCAGTGGAGCCCTCACTCGACCAAGTCAACTTTAGGCTAGGACATGCGACAGAACTCTGGATGCGGGCTCAGATCCACCAAAGCCACGACATCTGCGACAGAACGGAAACCAAGAGGCTTTGAAAACCCTAAACCCTAAACCCTAAACCCTAATCCTAGAGCCTACTGAGCCGCACGGAGGCTTAAGAACTTAGCCTTAGAGCTGCGTAGACCCGATCCCAAAGTCAGACCGTATCCATGCATAAATTGGTTTAGGGTTTAGGGTTTAAGGGTTTAGGGTTTAGGGTTTAGGGTTGAGGGGTCTCGCCTCACTCAGAATCAAACTCGTAGGATGCTTCTGACTGTCTAGCGTGACATAGCCGCCTACTCGAAGGGTATCCGTTAGACAGGGACTGTACTCTGATGAGCTTCGTTGAGAAAGGTACGAAGAGGCCACCTTCCCAGAAGCTATGCAACACACTGCCAGGCTGATTTCGCCTCTAACCATGGTATTGAAATTAAACCCTAAACCCTAAACCCCTGAAGCCCTGTCTCGTGTGGGGCATGGGCAGCATTGGGGAGGCGGGCTTTTTGTTATTGGAAGCTTGCTCCGTCGACGCAGCATGCAGCAGCAAGCATCCGTTTTTCCTCACGTGACGACGTCCCGTGACTCCACCGGCCATGGTGAAGATTCCTCGGGTAACTGTTCGGACGAGTTTCCTGGCCTGGGCTGCCATCACCTTGGCGTTTGCCTGGACAGGCCCTTTACCTTGGCGGATTCTTCCAGGCCCTCATTCCGGTGTGCAGGATGCATGTTCAGGGCCCCAAAGCCAAAGCCCAAAAGCCAAAACCTAAACCGCAGCATGCCCCGCCAGGCCATGTTGATGGAGTCTCCGAGCCTCCTCCGGTGGAGTTCGATCGGAACCGGGATCCCTTCATAGATGCCGTGGCGGGCACCATCTGTGCCTGCATCGCGTTCAGCCTCCTTTGGTTGAATGAGGGCCATGCGGTTAGGATAGAGCAGCTGCTTGATTTGGTGCGGCGTCGTGTCATCGAGATCGGGCCTACTGCTGTCCCCGGAAACCAGAGGCAGCTCGTATTTCTGCATGGGGACGCGACATCAGCGGACCAGTTGGTGCTGCCAGAATGGGCGAACATCTCCGCCCCTGCCAACTCTGCCAAGCTCAGAGCGCCACTGGGAGTTCTGAAGATTGTGAAGTGGTGTTGGGTTAATTTAGAAGTCTCTTTCAAAGCCTCCTTACACGTTTTCTTTTTGTGGGGTGTCACTTCGGTGCTACTCGTAGTAGGAGCAGCGCGAGTTGTGCCCGTGTGGGGGTGTTGCACCAGTGCGCCAGTGAGGCAAGCCTTGATGTACCAGTGGGAGCGGCATGTGATAGACGAAAACAAGACGATTTACAAGAAAGTTTGGAAGAACCACCGGATCAACTCGGACCGGTTTCAACATTCTGGACATGACAACCCCGTCTTCCCAGTCGCTCCGACGTGCATGAAGTTGGCGAAGGTGGCCGTGGGAGACTTTGTCCTGTCCAAGAAGATGTTGCTTGGGATGCAAGAACCTTCTAAACCCTAAGCCATCAACCCTAAACCGCCCTAGACAGCCCTAAACTCTCCATACCCGAAGCCAAGCACCTTCAATTAAAGGCCCTAAAGGTTTCTATCATCGGTTTTAGGCCCTGGTCTCGCAACGACGCCGCATTACGTAGCGTTCTCTCTGGCACGGCCGGTGCAGCAAAGCACTAAATGCGCTTCTCCCGTGGACTTCGTCTGAATGTTCGGTTCTGAAGTAACCCGGGATTCTCAAACGAATCGTGAACGCCGCGCGTCGTCCGCCTCGGCCCGGAAAGAATTGGGGGTTTCCGCAAATACGGGACCCGAATATAGTACCCTAAATAATAGGATCCTTATTATAAGGACCCCAAAGCAAGCTACCCTAATTTTCGGAAACTCCCAATTAAAGAGGGCCGACCAAGGGCTCAGCTGCTTCGCGAAGGCGTCATGGGCGGAGCAGGGTGGAGAGGGGCGGTGGAGGGAGCAGGGCACCCTAAACCCTAAACCCCAAACCCCAGACCCCAGACCCCAAACCCCAAACCCTAAACCCTAAACCCTAAACCCCAACCCCACAATCCTAAGCCCCAACGCTCCAAGCTTGCAACCTCAGACCCGGCTCCAAACCCTTTCAGGGCTCAGGGGCTTTGGGGTTTAGGATTTAGGGGCTTTAGGGTTTTGGGTTTAGGGGCTTTAGGGTTTGGGGCTTTAGGGTCTAGGATTGAGGGGATTTAGGGTTTAGGATTTAGGGGCTTTGGGGCTTTAGGGTCTAGGGTTTAGGGGCGGTCTTGGGACTCTGCAGGTTAGAGGTCTAGGGTTTGGGGTATTGTGTGCTTCAGCGGTTTAGACTTCAGGCTTCAGGGTTTTCACGGAGACCTCAGCGCTGAAAGCGGACCTTGAACTCCTATCCCAACGTTTTCAACTTAGACTTTAGACCTTCGAGCAGAAAAAAAACACGTGTTTTGGGCACCATTCAAGGCGCCAGTCGAGAACTTGGGCCTACTGCAGCTGTCGGGGTTTAGGGTCCAGGGCCCTATATAAACCCTAAACCCCTAAACCCCTACACCCCTAGACCCAAAACGCTTCAACCCTAAACCCTAAACCTATAAACCCAGGTTTCGAGCTCCGGGCTTCAGAGGTTGAGGGGTCCCGGGCTTAAGACGGTTTCGGCCTTAGGGTTTAGGGTGTAGGGGCTTTGGGTTTAGGGCTTTAGGGTTTAGGGCTTTAGGGTTTAGGGGCTTAGGGTTTAGGGTTTATGGGTTTAGGGTTTAGGGTTCAGGGTTTCGGGTTTAGGGTTTCGGGTTTAGGGGTGTTAGGGTCGAGGGCTTTAGGGTCTAGGGGTTTAGGGTTTGAGGGCATAGGAAGACTTGAAGTTGCAGAAATCTCAAAGGTCACCACGTGTTGGAATCTCCCTGGCGGCTCCCACTGCGAGGTTGGTGACCAGCTTCGAGCGAGCCCGTTTGGTGTTTAGGGCTCTCGGGGCTTCACAAGTTTCATTTTTTTGCGTTCTTCGTTTGCGGGTTGAGGTTTTGTAGTACGATCATGGGTGTATGTAAGGACCTAAACCCTAGACCCTAAACCCCATTCCGCCATGGGTTGGAATGGCTCACCCCAACACCCCGTAGCCTTGACCCCCCTTGTAGCAGAGTCCTTCAGAGGTTGATCTGATTCACTTTGGAGGAAACCTCGCTTCTTCTTCTTCTTCTTCTTCGTAGCTGAATGGCTAACTTTTGGAAACCTGGCCTCTTATTCTTCGTAGCTGAATGGCTCACTTTTGGATCATCGCTTTGGGCATCTACAATCACACCACAGGGATGGGGTTAACCCTGTGGAGCCAGGAATCTCAGCAAGTTAGCTGGATGCTGAAAACCAGCATATCAAGCCACGTCTTAGTTTCAGGTACGGTTTCAGTTCGAACTTGCGAAAACCAACAAAATCCTGTTCAGAAGTCGAGGCAATAGAGATTAACCGAATCATTTAGGTTTTCTACATTTAGCAACATCCGGCTCGCAAGCAGCTCGCTAGCCCGTGAAACAGCGTGGAAAAGCCATCCTTGTCGAACGCGACCCGCATGGGAGTTTCCGAAAATAAGAGGCACCTTACTTTTAGGGTCCTTATAATAATAAGGATCCTACTATGCAGGGTATTATCTTAGGGTCCCCATTTGCGGAAACCATCGCATGGCTGGAAAGGTGCCGGTAAGGCGGCCCTATGTTGGACCTGTGACGCTGGCCAGCCACTGCCCTGGGTCGCGGGATGTGTGTGCATCGTTTGTGTGCCGCTGAAGACGGGTCTGATTCTGCTCAAGGTTTCGATGGTGATCATGCTGCTGCAGCTCCTGCTTATGATGAAGATGATGATGATGATGTTGATGGTGATGATGATGACGATGGAATGTTGCTGACGACGGCATTGGTGATAACCCCTCCACCCATGGCAACCTATATAACGCCATCATGTATGTTGGTCTTCATCCTCGTCGCGACCCGCTGACATCATCAGTATCATCTCAAGGTATCATCTCAAGAATAAACGGTGATCAACTTCTTCAGCATCACCATGATGAGTAATAATTGTAAGGACTTCCATAACCATGGTCCTGTCCATTTGTTGGAACCTTGTCGCTTGAAACCATCCGGAGTTTAGGCACTACACCTTTTACGGCCCAGTAGCTTTGGGATTTGATGTCTGGTTTGGGGCTTTTCTTTTACGGCTAAGAGCTTTTGGGTTTAGGATGAGGGTTCAGGGGTTGCATATAGGGTTTAAATATGCTTAAACCGGGTATCGGGAACGACAAGCAGAAGAGCTCTGTTCGGTGCAAGAATTCGCGGCTGTGCGGCTTTTCGTCCGTTTGAGTTCCTAAGTGCGGTTGGCACCATGACCTTGAGGTGGGTGGGTCAAGCCAGCAGTCGAATTCAGGTTTAGGAACCCTAAACCCCAAACCTTTCCCTTAAGGGGCCTTAATAATTAGAATAGGGTTTGGGGTATATTATACTATTACTATAATACGGAAACCCCAAAAACCCTATTCTAATCTACATTAAACCCTAAACCCTAAACCCCGATTACCCAGGCTGTGTGGCCGACAACACGAACATCGCGCAGGAGGCCGTGTGGTACGGCTTCTTGGAAAACGCCACGTGCCCCTTCCCCAGAGCCGGGTCAGAGGTCGGCGCTGGGGCCTGAATTTTCGGATCGATCCCACGAATCGGCTAAACTCTGAATCCGCCAGTGTCGAAATTGGAAGCTCTGCCCAACTAGCAACCTGAATCCAATCCTGGAGACTAGAAAGTCAGGAGTCAGGAGTCGGAACCCTCTGCTCCACTGCTTATCATGACGGAAACAGGGTGTCTGGGTGGATGTAGTTTTTGTTTCAAGGCCTCGCTGGGAGAACGCGTTGTGCGTCTATCATGCAGACGTTTAGGGTCATCTTGTCAAGCCTCTGCTGCCTGCTGCTAGGCCGACTGATGCGAAGAACAACCGGTGCCATCTGATCATGGCCGTGATGATGATGGTGATGATTATGACAATGATGATATCCGCCACCGCCACCACCACCACTGCCGCCGCCGCCGCCACCACCACTACCACCACCACCACCACCACCACCACAACCACCACAACCACCACCACCACCACCACCTCCACCACCACCACCACCACCACCACAACCACCACCACCACCATCACCACAACCACAACCACCACCACCACCACCACCACCACCACCACCACAACAGAGTCACCACATCACCACCGTCGCAACTATCACCACATATCAACACCATCAGCACCAGCACCACCATCGCCACCATCACCATCAGCACCATCATCACGGGCACCTTTATCAACAACATAAGCCCACTCTTTTCTGCATCATGGTACCAATGACAGGACTTTCGCGAGACGGTGACATGTGGCTAAAATGACGTTCTTGACCCATTGTTGCAATGACGACACTTTGAACATGCCTAGACCTGCCCATGGTGTTCAGGGCCTTCGCTGCCTAGGCATGCTGATGTCCGCAAAAAGAGCGGTTGCCAAGTACTAGGTATTCCGTAAACTTCGAGTGTGCTGTCTCGCTGTGCTTGAGGCTGCCGAAGCTAAATCTACACCCCAAACCCCAAAACCAGGAAGCCCTGACAAGTGGCCCCTGAACCCTAACGCCGAGGCCTAAGCTTAACCTCTACACCCTAAATTACTAACCGCGGACCCTTAAACCCGCAAACTCTAAACCTCAGCCCAATCACTGAACCTCTGAACCCTTAACCTTCGACCTGAAATCACCGGAGTGGTACGGTTGATGGACAAAATCCTGCATGACCTTATATACCTAAACTATGGGATTTATGGTACTATACTATATTTGGGTCATGCAGAATTTTGTCCATCAACAGTAGGATCCCCCGAGCTCAGGTCCCGATCCTGAGACACCGCCACCAGGCCCCCTCGGTCAGAGAGATAGGGTTTAGGGTTTAGGGTTTAGGGTTTAGGGTTTAGGGTTTAGGGTTTAGGGTTTAGGGTTTAGGGTTTAGGGTTTAGGGTTTGGGTGTAGGTCAGAGAGATAGTTGATTTTTGGTTTAGGTGCGCGAGTCTAATGTAGGTGCCTAAATGATTACCAATACTATTTGGGGGTTCCTTCTAATAATCGTATAACAGGGCCCAAAACCCTATTCTGACTATAAAGGCCACCAAATAAGGATTTAGGATACAGGTTTTAGGTTCCAGATTTTAGGACCTAGGTGTGCAAATTACTGGGTTATGAAGTATGAGTATGAGGTTCTGACCCCAAGTATAGCCCGCCAGTAATTAGGGAAAGAAATCGATGTTCGGAGGATCTGGATTCGGACAGATCGTCCGAGTCGGGCATGGGCCCACCTGCTTAAGGGATAATGGAGACCTGCTTAAGGGATAGTGGAGGGGGGAAGAAAGGGAGTACTATAGGGTTAAGGGTTTAGGGTTTAGGGTGGAGAAGGGAAGAAAGGGACATCCATAGAGTTTACGGTGGAGGAGGGAAGAAAGGGA